CTCAAACCACTATCTTTCAATTACAACGACAGCTGCAAGATTTGTCAAAGATACACTTTTAAGAAAGCAAATACAGAATGCCACTAAAATCTACATGATTGAATCTAGGGGAAACAAACAAGACAGTCTGCATAGTCTATTGTAAAGGATCTAGTCCAATCACAACATTATCTTTATTTGATCATTAAAATTTGTCACTACTTACAGAATGATTAGAACCCTTAATTACTCGAGGATTTCGCCCTTCCCTCGAAGGGAGATTTGAACCCAAGTTGTCGATCTGGTATGATTTCGCTCTTATCAATTGAGATATGTCATGACCTTTTAATTCGTATTGAACATGTAGCAGAAAATTTGATCACACGTCTCTCTTTAATTACTGTGGGGAATAGACGTATAGTAAAGACGATGTGCTTAGTGGTTACAGCTACCGAAAATAGCTTTCTGAAAGCGAAATGACACTAGTGATTTCCATAAATCTTGTGCTAATGATGAATCCCACATACATAATTGCTCTGGGAATTAAAAATGTCTAAGCACATCATTAGTGAAGTATTTGAAGTCAATGCGTCCACTAATTTTGTTTTCCAGATTCTTTGTATGATCGTACAATAACGTCTTTTTCAATCATGGATAATTACGCCAACCTTCCAATATTATCATTTGTAGGTAAATATCATACTGTCCACGATCAAGAGGTTAAGGTACCAACACTGTTTGTCACATAAATATCATTGGACTTTAGGTTAAGGAGCCTAAGAAATTCCTTGAATCTAGCTATATGTCGAGTTAAATCTTAATTTAGTTCAAAAATAGACGTAGGGCATAGTCACCATTTTGTCAAAGTCGGTTGGTAGCACAAATGCAATTTATCCCATTCAGTCCATCCGATCCACCTCCATTTCAAGCATGCTCCTACAATATCCATCCTGTTCTAGCATCGATTCGAACATGGGATCTCCAGTTTTGATACTAATATAATGTAGGATGTCGCCACCATTTTTTGTCCAAAAGCTATAGTTAATGGCACAAATGAATTAAAACCAGAAATTTGTAACGTCAGCTATAGCTATAGCATGTATCTTGTTGGATATCAGTGCCCGTTTCATCAATAATGCTGCTCGTACAAAGTTGGGTTACATGGGTAGTTGACAAAATGACGTGTATAGTTGACATTAAAAAGCATTGGACGGCTGAGATTTTGGCAATAATATTAACCCATTTAAGAATTTATTGACACAGAAAGCTTTGAGGCAAAAAATCTCAAATTAGGGCGACAAAAACATGAAGCGGGATTGCGATTGCCAGTCAAGTTGCTTGTTTCATCGATGAACCCGGCATTGAACACGATTGCTCCTCCAGTCCATCTTCTCCATTTCCAAAACCAAGTCATTACATAGGACGGGCATTACCACTAACATGACCTATATCTATAGAATATTAAACATTTTTTTTTATGACAGGGGAACTCGCAGCCTTTATCCTTCGGGTGCACACTAGATAAACCTTCGAATTGACGCAATAGCCTGCAAATCATGCCATTCAGGTAAACCGCACTAGGTAAGTTCGGTGCGACAGACTCGACTGAGAAAGTGTTTGTAGCTATAGAATATTAAATATTGTTGGGCATGGGGGTGGGGGTCGGTGTGGAGGAGGAGATAAGGTGGTGGTGCAATGACGTCGAAGGCAGAGATAAGAGAGGGTTTAGAGAGAGAGCGGTGGTGCTTAGCCAAAGGCAAAGGGAGAGGGGGGCTGGGCTACACCCGAAAGCAAATGAATTTGTAAAAAATGGAAAATTTTGCCCAAATTATTGGTGAAATAAAGAAGAATAAAAATTTAGCCCAGCCCAAAATTTAATCTTAGTCCAATTAATTTCATTCCCAACCCAAACCCAATGTTCAATTATTCAAAATTTAGCTTCAAATTTAAATAGTTCATTTATAATCAAATTAGTTTCTAATATTAGAAATAATATTTTTTATTAAAGTAAAGATAAATGACTTATTGTAACATGTTACATGTTTGACTAAGTTTAAAAGTAATCAATTTTTTCTAACATATTTTTTCATTTATTACTTATTTATTCTTGTGAGTTAAAAATTTATTCGATCACGAAATGGATGTTATAATCAAAATAAGTAATATGCTCTATATTTACTTTTATCAGTTAAAAATATATTTGTTAGAACTTTGTCATAAATGTTAAAAAATATATCTTGACCCATTCTGTTATTAGCGTTTAGAGTTTAACCTTTTAAACTAAATCTCGAGCAGTAAAGAGCATCTATGAAAAAAAATTCAATTTTTAACCCACCCTAACATATCTTCCTGGCTCCATCCCTGTGCTCAACCATGGGGGTATGCATGGGTAATTTGTAAACAATGGTTCCTTATTTGAAACACTTTTTAAGAAATTTTCACTGTGAGGTCCTCTATTTGTGAAAGACGCTGCTGAATTTAGAGGCTCTTGTGTTGATGATGCAATTTTCATCTCTCTCTCTCTCTCTACTGTCGGAGACATGTCGGAACCTATTGCCACCTCCTGGAATTTCTGTTTTTCTGTCATCGGATGATTGTTTCATGAAAATCCTGAAGAGGGAATTGGATTTACATTCGCATAGATGGAAGTAGTGTTTCATTGCCATATTCACAATCGAATCCAGAGTTTTTGCGTGGTTTTGGGGTATTGAAAAATTAGGCGTGCGCAAAGCGAGAAAGAAACAATTAGTGTACTAGAGTTGGCCAATTGTCAAAGATAGGGACGATGCCGGAGGCACAAAGACTGCCAGAGCTAAGCATGTCGAAGGTTAAAGGTTTGGGGATAGAGGTGGCAATGCTCGGCCCTTAAACACATGAACTCGGCTCGTGGCTCGTTAATAAAGAGTCGAATCGACGAGCAGAGATTTAACAAGCTGAGCGGCCAAGCCGATGAGTCGCTCAGCACGTTTGACATCCCTATTTGAGGAGGAAGTGAGTTTGATGAGCAAGGAGGATTTGACTTGGGGGAAAATGGGGAGAGAGAACGTGATTTTGGATTAAACTTTGTCAAGCAATATTGTAAATTTGACGCGATCGCCCATTTCATTACGGTTCCTGAAGATTTATGCCACTAATTTTTGTACAAAATGGTTTATTCACTCTCACATACACTTCGACCCCACGTGAAATAAAAAAAAGTCAACATGTGGCCTCCATCCTCCCATTGTAAGTGTAAATAAACCATTTTGTACAAAAGTGTTTGTACATCTAGTACTCTCCAAAATTGAATATGTATCTAGTTATTAAAGATGGTATAGGAAACTATCGGCTAGCAGAAGGTTCGGGACAATTAACTATCATCTATGACTACGATAATATCCTCAATAAAGCTATCTATACATGATAGTGTTACATATGCACGCGAAGGTGCATCCTTCGGTCGATCGCAATTCAAATCGGCCGACAATGCACACTTGATTGGCCAATGGCATGCATGTGTCAAGTTACCTATACAGGTAGCATGTTCCTATTATCTTATCCCATTTCACAATCTGTTACATACATAAATCTCAAAAGCTCTCCTATGCTACTGCACATATGGTTTGGCTAAAAGAATTATATTTTTAGTAAATTTTGATAAAAGTTAATGATATTTATAATTGAAAAGTTGATAAAAGTGATTACATAAAATGTCTGACTAAAAATAAATTTGTGAAAAATGACCAAAACAGATGTGAATTTGATACAAAAGCTTAATTTTTATTATCTTTTCTTAGTTAGGGGTCTTATTCAATTTTTTTAAGGGAATATGGACTAAACATGAAATTTTAATCATGACCTAGCACTAGATTTTATTGAAAATTAATAAAAGTTATGAGTTTTTTTCTTCAATTCTTTCTAACCAAATCCAATTTTAATTATGATCAAGCATCTACTACTTGATTATATTGTCAGTGCATCAATCTTTTTCAAGGTCATCTACATCAATCGAATCAGTGCTTCGCATGATTATTGCCGAAATCATTAGGATATCATTAAGACCATTAAAATTGTGGTCTCAATAATAAAGGTATTGCTACACATATATTGAGATGTTCATAATAGTGTCATCCCCTCACATGAAGGAAACCCATTTCGAATAAAATATAAATTATTCGAAGTGAGTCCCTCTCCATGTGAGGAGAATATACACCGTTATAAACACCACATTATGTACAAATAATATATTCAAAATAACAAAGACCACTTGATGGTATGTTGAAATCATCAAACATTGCATTGAAGTCATTAATGTTAAACAATTCGTTATAATCCATTTGCAATTGTAACAATATATAGTTTTTGTTTGATTCTCGTTTTATTGTAAGAATACAATTTGGAATGGTAGATTAATGAAAAATATTTAATTAAAAAATAAAGAAATTTTTTTAATTTGAGTGTAATGTTATTTTATTGAAAAAATGTGTAGTTAAAAAAAAAAGAAAAAAAAATGTATTTTGAAAATATCAGTACCAAACAAGGACATAATAATAGAATAATATAATTTATATTAGAATTGAATGGAAATAAGTCAAATAAAAAATATAAAGATACTAAAAACTCAAGATTACATTACATCACAAAAAGGTTAATTGCGAAAATGAAAATTTCTACAATTATTGTAAAATACAGGAATTATAGGTTTAAAATGCAAAGAGAATTATGGCCAACGGTCATAAAATACAAAATGTGACCATTTGGCCTTTGGGTTGGCCAGCCAGCCCAACGGTCACATTTTTCTGCTCAAGCCAGTTCGTGGGCAGTGCTCATGTATGGACCCGAGCGCTTTAATTTATAATTATTTATTTTTTATTGGCTCTGCCCTCAGCTCATCTCTATGCTAGCCGACAGCGAGTGGCTCGACTAGTTTGTCACCCCTAGTATTACCTGGTCTAACTCAATCGATCTAATACTATACAAAATATTTCTGCTAAATAAATATCAAATATAATTCAAGTAAATCTAGGAAAAACTTTCAAAAATTGAAATAACCAACAATCAACAATTATAAGACATGCGACGAAACAGCATTTGCATAACATGTCTAAACAAGTATCTCACACATTCACCAATACAACTCACTTAGCAGTAGTTTCAACAAAGAAATTTGAACTCCACAAACGTTTTTTTCTCCGTATTAATAAAAATCTTAAGCTTTAAGACAAACAGAAATTGACAAGGACTTGGAATGCACTCAATAACACATACAAAGACCAGAAGGATTCCAAAAACATGATCTCCAAATACACCTCAAGCCATTTTCATCCCTTATCCTTTTCTTCCTCAGGATTTTTCCACTCTCGACTGCACAGATAGAAAGCAGTCATCTTCAGTGGAAAGCTAGTTCTGGTTCTTGGGTTTCTCCGTGGCCCTGGGAGCTATGAACCAAAAGAAAGGTGTTACGAAGTTCAGTGAATATCATATGCTATATCACAACAGAACTGTATTGTAATGAAGTTGTTCAAATTCTAAAATCGTAAAATTTCTCAAGTTTAAACAAAGACTAAATTTTTCCATTGTTGCAGCTGTTCAATATCCAATGATAGGATTCAAATTAACTAGGCACTATGTTCGCGAAGTGCACTGTTATTCAGTCCAGCAGCATAACATCGGTTCAACATAGTTAACTCCAAGCCAGAATTTGTCAATTTACAATAACCACTAGAATGTTCTTTATACATATCCCAATTTAGGCAATTTCATTGTCCACAACATTTCAATTTCTTCGAGCATTTAAGTCTCATTCACATTATACTGCCATTTTTAAGATATATGCAATATAAATTATTTGAACATAAAATGCAAAAATTTCAACAAAATTTATTAGAAATCACAACAACAAAACAAAGACAGGCTCCAAAAACACAGTCTGATGACTTATTTTCATCCCCATTCCTCAGTATATATTGTCTTCGATCTTTCTAGTACTTGTCTGTATGGCTTCTGTAAGTGTCCAAAATAAGAAGCTGCTATGCTGCATTTATGCAAGGATAATGTTTCTTATGGATCTCACTGGCGAAAACTTGAGCAAGCATGCCTTTAAAAGACACAAATTTCACAAATTGGAGCTCTAAACTGTTTAACAAACAGGCATAAGATGATTAAAAAAATGCTTACCTAATCCAATAGCATCAGAGCCTTTCATAATTTTGAGCCTCTTGCATGATTCAATAAACATCCTATAACAGAAACACTTATGAGCAACATATGAAGAGGCATAGGACCTTTAAAATAAATAAATTGTCATGTCCCATGTTCTCTAGATTCTCCTAATATTTATTAAAATTGTCACCTACCAGAATTATCTAGCCAGTTGAGGGAATCATCTGAGCACTTGGACAAATGTCAGGGGTGTTAGTTGAACAGGCACCACGTATAACTTCATTTAAGAAAGTATCAATACTAGCAGACATTTCATTTAAATATAAAAGTCAATTGTGTTCCCTATGTTTTTTCTACACGTCACACAAAAATTCCAGGAATTGAACCATGCAATATGGAGTCCAAAACTCCCTAAATATTGTACCCTCCAAGCTATTTTATTTATGGATAACATTTTCAAAAGCTGTGTAAGTTGTACAAACCTTTCCACGAGGAATTCAACAAACTCTTGAACATATATTGTCATTCAGAAAGGATATAGAAAGTTGACAGAATCACACATTGATTATCCAACCACGGGCAAAGAGAAACAAGTGGTCAATAATTTTGGAAGAAGAATTACCAATGACAGCCAAAATACAATCACAACAAGAGAGTCTAAGTAAATACTTTAACTAAACCCCTGAGGATAATAGCATTATCAAGCAACATGGTTTCCCAATTCTGTTGTAGTCTGATTAATCAGCAAAACAACGCGCCAAAAAAATACTTATAATTATTTGCTAAAAATAAAAGGAAAAACAAGTAACAATCTTATCACCAAATATAGCTTATCAATATGGCTAAGAGCTCTTCGTAGAAAAGGGAAATCGTAACATAGAGCACAAGGGAAAAAAATGATGTGCGGGGAAAGTGGAATCCATTTCACTAAGGTTCCTCTAACTCTCGTCTAGCGCATGTGACTCAATTCACCAAGCTTAGGGTTGGTTAAAAATACAGCCAATGGTTATGAGGGTTGCTGTTTGTGAGGCCCAGTAACCCTACGAATGTTGGAAACTAGGCAAGCTAACTCCTCTTTCTGGTTTGTAAAAATTCTTTTGATTATCCCCGTATTTTGGAGGTAATTTACAGGGCTTCTAAATTGACAAGGGTTTATTAGGCTATTCTGAAACAGGTAGTTATATAACAAGTTCATGTATCTTATTAACCCCCAGTCCATCATATAAAGCAGCTGAATTTATCTAGGATATGTTACTAGTGATATAGAAAATGAAAATAAAAGGCAATGAAGCACAGAGGAAGAACCCATACTTCCCAAACTTGAGGAATTAAGAGGTTATATTTATCAAGGCTTTTTAGGCAAAGGGGACCCAAATTTTTTATTCATGCAAATTCTCTTGTTTACCTTCTGATTTTAATTTCTAAAGCTGGCTAATGTTGACAGTATCATGTAAGCACAAAGTTTACATCCATGAATATCAAATAGTAAATATTACAATCAAGTAGAACAATACATTATCGGGATCCTATTCTATCTGTTATTGCGATAATACGGAGAAAGTGGCAATATAACCATAAATATAAAACAGGTAGAACAAGAAACTCACTCCCATGGGACATCTCCAACAAGCATCCAGTCACCATCCTTATCCTCGAACGTAAGCACATAGTCTGATCCATGCACAAGATCCTTGAACTTATTCTCGCCCAGCATTTCCCTACCTGGAGCTTCCTGGGATCCACATTGTCCTGAAGCCAATATACAATTATAACTACTGCATCACGTAAAACAAAGATTGAACAAGTTAAAGATTCGATTGGAACAAAAGCTTACTTATGGTAAAGCACATGAACATTTTCTCGAGAGCAGAAGAAAGTTCTTGATATGTGGAATATACAAGGGTTTATTAGGCTATTCTGAAACAGGTAGTTATATAACAAGTTCATGTATCTTATTAACCCCCAGTCCATCATATAAAGCAGCTGAATTTATCTAGGATATGTTACTAGTGATATAGAAAATGAAAATAAAAGGCAATGAAGCACAGAGGAAGAACCCATACTTCCCAAACTTGAGGAATTAAGAGGTTATATTTATCAAGGCTTTTTAGGCAAAGGGGACCCAAATTTTTTATTCATGCAAATTCTCTTGTTTACCTTCTGATTTTAATTTCTAAAGCTGGCTAATGTTGACAGTATCATGTAAGCACAAAGTTTACATCCATGAATATCAAATAGTAAATATTACAATCAAGTAGAACAATACATTATCGGGATCCTATTCTATCTGTTATTGCGATAATACGGAGAAAGTGGCAATATAACCATAAATATAAAACAGGTAGAACAAGAAACTCACTCCCATGGGACATCTCCAACAAGCATCCAGTCACCATCCTTATCCTCGAACGTAAGCACATAGTCTGATCCATGCACAAGATCCTTGAACTTATTCTCGCCCAGCATTTCCCTACCTGGAGCTTCCTGGGATCCACATTGTCCTGAAGCCAATATACAATTATAACTACTGCATCACGTAAAACAAAGATTGAACAAGTTAAAGATTCGATTGGAACAAAAGCTTACTTATGGTAAAGCACATGAACATTTTCTCGAGAGCAGAAGAAAGTTCTTGATATGTGGAATATGTCCTGAGATCCACCTTCCTCAAATAAGGTGCACCATCCATGCTGACCTTGACAAATAGAGCACCAGGAACAGGTTTGCCATCAACTTCGTCATTGGTCTTTAAGGTTGTGGCGAGAGTATTCTTCCTGAAAGATCTGATTGGAGGCCAACCAACCACCTGAGCCCTGCAAAGCATGAAAGACTCGATTAACAGTTGCTTGCCTCAGACTTTTAAACAAGATTTCACCTAAGAATAATTATTTGTTTTCCTTGTTCAGCCCATAGAGATTCAAGCACTTACTTAGCAGCAGGTGCACTGTTGTTATTGTTGGAACCATTAATCTTGTTATGGCCTTCCTGTAATGTTCTTGTAGGCAACTCTTTCTTCATCGATGGCTGAGACCCAGATGAATTGTTGGATAGAATCACATTTATCCCAGCATTGCCAGCTAACTTTGCCTCTACAACAGACTGAGGAGTTCCAGAGTCGGAACCAGTAGCATTAAACATCCATTTTCCTTCAGTAAAAACAGAACTTTTTATTTCAGAGAATCCATCCACAGTGTCTGAGAATCCTCTTTTGTTTCCAGAGATAACGGACTTCTGCATCAACGAGCAGATTCCATCCTTGGAAGGGAGCAACGGAAACAACTGCTTCTCGTCGAGCTTGCCTGAACTCAGTAGAGTGAAGTCTGAATCACGTTCTGGGGATCGGGATCCAGGAAGACCAAGCCTCAATTCTGTAGCCTTCAAATTCAAATTGTTCTTGTTTTCCTCAGACATATTGGAGACTGCTGAGCTGTCAACTGAGGAACAATCCGACAACCCCAGATAATTGCGTTCTTTCAACCCCGAGCCACTCTGGGTAATACAGTCCACAGATGCTGAAGATGACATCAATGGAGCATTAACATGACCACCCCCTTCAACACCCAATAACGGAGGAGACATAAGATCAAAGAAGTTTAAAATTTCCTGTGAACCAGCTAAAAATGATAGAAGTTTAGTGTTTCGCTAACAACTGATCAACAGCATATACATCCAGACTTTGAAAACTATTGTTATAAAATTCTATTTCCTGAATTTTCTTACTGGAGCCTTTTAAAGAAATTATTGTTTTTGTTGATTCACTTTCTAAGGCGAACAAATTCAGATAAATACTTAACCCATGCACCACCAAGGATGTAGTTTTGATAAGAGGATTAAAATCCCAAAAATATAGATGAAATATAAAATTGTAATGTCCAAAGTCCACTAAACGAATTCAACATAATCAGAAGTTGTCTTTTAATCCTTACTAAAATTCCAGAAAAAAAAAGTTTTAAGGACAATTAAACAACACACAAATTGTTGCGAAGAAGTAAATATAAAATCGGTAAATTTTGCCAACGAAAACTCGTGATCCAAAGGAATAGTTGTTGAAAAAAAAGAAAAATTATCAAGTCAATATATACAAACCCAAAAAAAATTGTAAGACGTATAGCTACCCAGAATCCGGCTGTTTTGCTAAAAGAAATTTTATTAATAATTACGTGACACATGCATAGGTAGAAAAACATAATTTCTAACAATTTTTTCGTCAAAGAAATACTGCAATCGTCAGATAAAGGAAAATATACAAACAGAATCTCAGGTTTTCGGAGTAACTATAATCAAAAGAAATGAACCCAGAGATAATCTGAGGAAAATAAAGGCAAATCTGGAAGGTTCAGAGAATCTAAATAAGAAAAAAAAAATCAAGGATACTAGCTGTAAAACTAAACCAAAAAAAACAAAAATAAAAATAAAAATAATACACTAGCTTATAACCCACAAAAAACTCCTCAAAATTACAAGATCCCAGCTCAGTTAGGTAAACATCAAGCTCAAAAATTATGAAGTCAAACAATTAAGATAAACCAAATTGTTAGGAATTATGTATGTTACAAAAACTAAAGCATATACCTGAAAAATAATCTTGAAAGTTGAATACAAACAGCACAAAAAGAAGATGAGATTTAGAGATTAAACTGTTGGAAATGTACGAAACGCAAAGCAGAGAGAGGAGTTTTAAGGTCCCTCCATTAAGCAGAAAGCTAAAAACAAAAGTAATCAGAGAGCTGTTTTTGTTTGCAGAGAAACTCGAAGCTTGAAAAAATATTAAAAAAAGAGCGATTCTTTGGGGGCTAAAAAAGAATTACGAAGAAAACTTGGGTACTTTTTTAAATTCTTCTCTGATCAACGGCTGATGTCGATTGCTGTAAGTGAATCGTGGCCGTTGAAAGTGATCAGATAAACATAATTACCTGTTCGGGCACGTGGTAAATTGTGACAGCTAATTATGCCTTTTTACAGTTCCATGAAGACAATTCTTCTGGTTCTTACTTTCTGGTCCTTTGCTAATTAATGCTAGTTAACATGAAATGACGATTTTATCCTTCCCTGCATTTGGACGGCGAATTTACCTTTTTCTTTTTGTTGTTGCTTGTTGTTTGAAGGGGGAAAAAATGGTATTTTTATCGGTTGTAATGAAAGTTCAGTGAAAAATATAATTAAATTAAAATTTAGAATTTTTGTTGTTGGATATTTTGGTAAAGAAGAGCAGGGATCTGCTTATTTTTGGTGAAGCATGAAAATAACCTTCCATTTTGTATTCTTTTGTTTTGGTCAACTTGAAATCAATGCAAAAGGAATATTTTTGTTCTTTTATTAATTAAAAGCATTGTTGCTACGTACATTTTGATTCAATAAACATCACCACGAACTTCATAAGTAGTGAATCGACATCGATTAAAGGTTAACTCTTTCATTATTATTATTGTGATAGAAGCATAATTTGAATTACTCAGTAATTGCCATGCAAGTAACGAAGATAAAGTTTAGCCAAAAGGAGTATCAAATTCAATATCTCTAAAACTTATTGCATTTAAATCAGGTTGCGAGTCAAATGATGAAAGTTCCAAGTAGCTACGATTCTCACGACAAACTCCCCGTCACATAGGGTCCAACATCTCAAAACAAGGGCAATTTGGGAAATGAAAGATGCCCACTTGCAGCTTGCCAATTTAATTAGTTGGTTTTCTTTTAAAAAAATAATAATAATAACCTCAACAAATCTCAGCAATTTTTCAAATTTTATTTCGATATTTATTACAAATGTAAACTTTAGTTATAATAGTAATAATAATAACAAAAATAAAGGGGGGTAATATATTTACCGTTAAGTCCAAGTGGGGAAGAAATAGATAAAAGAAAAAAGTTAAGGACCTATAAAGAAATAAAAAAATATGAAGGGTTGACTGGGTGCAAATCCCATTTAATAAGAGTAGAGTAAATAAGAGAGAAGGAGAGACGGGAAAACAGGGGGTGGGGGGACAAGAAAGCGGCAATTGAACTTTATTTGCCGGGTGGTGAGTAGGACAATAATCTCTTTTCTCTCTCCTAATCAAACCTTATTTATTTTTACATCCTTAACCTTTTCTTTTTTCTACCAAATAATTGGTTTTCTTTTGTTAAACAAATGTATGTGCTTGGTCGCTCAAGAATCATTAGCTTTCCACTAACATTTGCACGCTTCCCCACTCTTTGTTTCAAAAAGACTGATATGAATGAATTTCTAATCTACACATTATACATAAAGTTGCAAAAAAAAAAAGAAAAAAAAAAGGGAATTTTTGGATTATGATAGACAAGGTAGAGCAGACAAAACTGATTGATTGTGTACAATTGGTTCATAAGAACTCATCAAAAGATGCCACCTCCCAAAATAAATAAATAAAAAAGAAAGAAAAAAGCATTGACAAATAGAGGTAGAAGTATGATTTATAACTTTCGTAGAGTAGAGATAAAGAAAAACATTAACGAATGAATATGTCAATATCTACTAGAGGAATAGCAAAGATGATTTTTGGATCTTGTTATCTAGTCATGTTAGCATCTCTAAGAAGTTAAATATGCTAAAATTTAGTTGATAGTATTATCGAGTAGGGGTGGACAAAATGACTGCATCAAATTCGAATCAAATCAAGTCAAACGATTCGGTTTATATATATATATACAAAAATGTCATTTAAAATTACATTTTACATTATCTACAAAGCGATTGAGCCATAGATCTAAATTCTAATTCAACTTTGCAATTTTAGACAAACACCCGTACTTCTACATCGCAGCTAGTATTATATTTACTGAATGTTTGTTGTTTATTTTTTATTTAGATATATATTACTACTAACTTATGGATATGATGATAAATTTTAATTTACATTTATCATTTGAAAATTTAAGTAATGGAACCAGAATCAAACCGAACAAGAATCGAATGATTCGATCCTACATCTTAAAAAATTATTAATTCATGGTTCAGTTCAATTAACTTGAAAATTCATTGTTCAATTCAAATATCTTGATTCATGGTTCAGTGCAAGTTAAAGTTATGTCCACCCTTATTTGCGAGTATTGTCCAATATTACATAATAAATGTGCTCAAGGGGTAATCATATGGATTTCACTATTGTTGTTGGCTTAAAAGAAAGTAAATTGGCCTAAATTGTATAACGTTGATTGAGACTCTGGAGTTATGATGTCTTGGGCTCCACTCATTTTGTGGGTTTTATGTTCTTCGTTATAAATAATCACACTATCTCAATAAAAGTAATTAAATAATTTTTGTATTTCCAAACACTCATATGCGGAAGAAGTTAATTATTCACAATCTCAAAATTAAGGGGCTAAAATTTCAATTAAGCTATTTGTACAATCTTTGTTGACAACCATTATTGACAATTTTGATGTTGCCAAAATACGGTCAGTTGATTTAGAATATAATTTTTTTAAAATTTAAAAAATGGATAAATGTGATACTACCAAGTATAAAGTTGTCAATAAGCACTATCTAAGTACAATTTTGTACATACATATCATATGTAATGGTGGATTTTTTCCCCTTCGTGTGAGTTTTGTGCTTTTTTAAATAAAATTGGGAGGGAATATGACCTTTTTCTTCCATGAAATCTATAAACAAAAAAACTACATATGTTAAAAAAACTTTTTATTTAATGATAATGCCCTAATTAAATTAATAAAACTAATAATATCACTACAAAATTACGAGCAACACTCGTATTATATACTATTGTGGTGGAAGTAGAATGATTACCTCTACACGGGAAATTAGAATGTTATGGAACGATTCAAGTAAATTCCAATCACGGCAACCTAATTTCACTCAGTATCAATTAAGTAATTGTACTTTAACTTTGTTCAATCATATAACTATAATTTAATTTTATTTCAGTAAGGTAACTCCGTTACTTGGATTGATGAATTAATAATGCAGTTACTTGATTGACACTATACTGTAATATAGTTGCCGCAAATTGCATTAAACAATTATGTATATGATCACTTAAGAATCGTTGTAATTTTCGTAAATTTTAAAACTTACACATCATTGTTATTTAAATCTATAAACTTAATAAAATAAATATGTGCTTGTCGAATTTAGGATAAATAAATCCCTTGAAATGGTCAATTAATAATATTTGAAGAAATGTTCAAAGGAGTGATATAATGAAATATGCATGAATTGTTCAAGTCGTGTTGGGTCTGAAAATGATGTTAATTAAATATTAAAATGACAATTGTATTGAACGGAAAATGGTAGCTTTAGGGCCATACATTGTGCGAGGCTGTGCCGCGACAAGGGGACCCACCACAACACAATACCCTAAGTACACAATATTTAAACTGTAGCTTGACAAAGAAACAATGATTATTTATGTAAAATGGTTGTGCAACCTATGTGCTAAGAACCGAAATAGAGTAAAAAGAATAAAGCTATTACTTGTTCTGTAAAAAAAAAAAAAAAAAAAGTCCTAATATAATACGAGTATAGTTTCAAAACTATAACTAAGGACGTGTCAAAATATCGTACGGTTATGAAAAATTGTTTAACTATTATTTTGAAGCACTGTAATTTTAAATGTCGATATCGTCAAGCATTAGACTACTTCAAGCTTTTAAAAGAGTTATAGCTTTCAAACTCGGCAAAATAGAACGAAAATAAATTTGTTTAACCTTCTTCTATGAAAATTGTGCATATTCGTTGAGAAAATTGGACGGACAAAAATTTAGGCTTCTTGCATGCCTTACTTGGAGAGTGATAGCTAATGTTAGCAGTCAGCACTTTCAAGTCAGGTATAAGGTATTAAGTCCCAATCTGACCTACACTTTTTAAAATTATTTTTTTAAAACTTACTTTTCCATCACGCATTTTATAAAATTCGTAACTTTTTTCAATTTTTTAACCATAGATTTTATCAAATTTTACTAATACTCTGATAGATTTTGATAAAAATCATATTTTTCAGTAAATTTTAATAAATGTTTGTGTATTATATGGTTGAAAATTTGAATAAAATTGTGAACTCATAAAATATCTGGTTGAAAATGAGTTTTAATAATGAATGTCAAACATGATCTGAAAGTCTAACTTTGATCATAATGGGCGAAAGGTGTCAATTGGAAAGGTCGATGAAGTTACCAACAATTTATCAATAGGTATTACTGTTATTTAAATGATTGGATTGGAAGACTAGCACGTCATTTTTATTAATCAATTAGCCTTCAATTCCTCCTAATCAATTTTGGATTAGTCTACAAGTACAAAATCAATTACTAAAAGTTTGACAAACTTGACAAGTGACAGCTCCCTGTTAGTGGGGCGGCTGGCCCCCCCCACCACTCCACCAACAGGGGGCCACCACTTGTCAAGTTTGTCATTGATTTTGTACATATAGAATAATCCATCAATTTTAGTTAAGTTAAAAAAATAGTTATTTTTGCTCCAAATTCGAATTTTACCTACAATAAAATAATTACATTAAATCAAGTAAAACTTTGTTCAAATTTGCAAAGGGTAAATAGAACAATTCCCCTTACCTATTAGCCAAACTGTCAAAAATCCTACTTTTTGGAAATAGCACAAAACGTCATTATTTGAAGCGCTTAGTGTGGGATACTGGATAACACTATCGTCCATTTCCTTAATATAAATTTATGAAATGACAAATATAGCTTACCAATTAAATAAAAGGAAAAGAAGGGAAAAAAATAATAATAATCACAACCATAGTCCCAAAAATTCCAAAAAAATAAAAAAATACATATAAGTCCCAAGTAAATAAA